AGGGGCATGTGGAAATGGGACATGGAAGTGGAGAGGAAAAGTCATGGATGAATGGTAACAGGAGAAGGGAGGAGGTAGAGTATATTGAAGCAGATATGTCACTTTTGGAGGGTCTTTGAATATTTAGCAAAAATCCCTGAAAGTTAAAGATCTGGTTAGGGGCCGGAGGCCACAGGGTGCAGAGGAAGGCAGTTTTTATTTACCTGAACCTGTCCCTCACAGATGCCACCATCTTCATCTTGTCTTCTTTAGCTCCTACTGCTTCATTTGCTAGGAGCTTCATCAGTGCTGGACTCTCGGAAGGCTCAAGAGTACAACACTGAGGTCTATGGAGAGTTTGGCAAGGAGTATCCACAAATCCGTGAATCATGCTTGGAATGGACAAATGTTGATGGCGTTCCGCCTTTTGTAATTCTGTTAATGTGCATTTTAAAGTGGCCAGTAAATTTTAGGCCTAGCTTGAAATTATGAGCCTAGGTTAAACCACCACCAGCCTAAATTGTTGACACAAGTCCAAATAGATCCAGGGATCTTGAAGCATTAAATGAGCTTGGTCAGATCAGACAACGTTTTTGTAAACTTTTTCAGTCCATTTTTAGTGCACGTGTACTCTCTTCTACTGTAGCGATGTTCGACATATTGGGATTTCAGAGCTGGTCTTCTGCATTGCATTATTGTAACTTGCGGCTATTTTGGTTGCTATCACTTTCCTTTGGCCATTCTCCTCTGACCCCTCTCTTTTTTGCTTACAGAACTGATATTGTCAGGATGTTTTCTCACTGTTCTCTGTAATTTCCAGACTAACGGCTGTTGTGTCTGAAAATCCCAGGAAATCAGAAGTCCCTGAGATACTCAAACCAACCACATCTGGCAATAGCCGTCATTGCACAGTCCTCCTTCTTATGTTTGGTTTGAACAAATGAACCTCTTAACCTCTTGACAGTGTCTACATGTTTTTATACATCGATTTGCTGATGCGAGCACCATGACCACTTAAGTCATATAAAGTGCCTGGAGTCTGTATGTGCAGCATTTAACTATGAAATGCTGTGCATACAGAGTCTAAACCTTCTGCTACCAAAGATGTGGCTCCACTTCTGGTACCTATGGCATCATCAACCAGCCTGGAACGTATTGGATGTCTTTCTTCATCACACACCAGACAGCCAGATGTGGTCACCCCAGAAGTGCCCAAGGGGATTTGAACTCTGGATTCTTTCTGCCTTAGTCCAGCTGTCTTGCCTCTGGGCCACACTTCAGTTCTTTTTTCTGCCTTGTGTCCAGCACTGGGGACTGGACTTTTCCTGTGGCTGCTCCTGTCTATCTAGCCCACCTGAAGCAGATCATTAATTAGCTGGGTATATAAGCACTGCCTCGCCCTGGGAACTTTGTGAGTTCATTGAATCTGGTTCACGTTTTTGGTTCGTGTTTCTGTGTATCCAGATTGTGTGTTCTCCAGTTTGTTCCCGGCTCTTGGCTCTTCTCCTCTTTTTCTCTGACCTCTGGCTTCCACTTTGACTTTCCATGACTACTCTTATGCTTGTTCTTGCCTGTACTGCGACTTGGAGTTATATCTCTGCACAGACCCACAGGCCAGGTGGATTCTAACCTGGTCACCTTGGGCTGTATTTATTTGCAAGGGTGAGTGTATATCTCTGCATACCGTACTCCACAACAGGTAATAACCCTGACAGCATCCAATGGCGGCACGGTACCCTCTCCGTAATAGTGATTAGGGCTCTTTTGGGGGTTAGATGGTGGGCTATAACTTGGGTATAATTCCGAGGTGACGGGGTCGTCTGTCACAAGTATCATAAGTATTCCCAACAGATGAATATTATTACCATCTAGCCAAACTTTACTGTAATTACCACTTGACCGTTTTTAGTGTGGAGGTTGCCATCTTGGAATTCCATCACAATTTTGAAACCCTTAGTGTTCACTGTGCAAAAAAATAAAGCAAAGGTTATTTTTTTCCCCCCCTTAAAATATGCTGAATACTTTTTAACATTAACATAAGCATTTATTTTTAAGTGATTGATTCACCGACAATTTCTGATGACAGAGCTGTAGAGAACAGACAAGATTTGCAATTTCTTCTGAACAGCTATATCTCAGATAAACTACTTTGTCTCCACTGCGGCTTTTTTAGAGATGAACTATTAACTCTAGGTGGACAGGCTTTGCACTTCATTGTACTTCTAGCATTCAGGATCCTTCTTCAGGCTTTTTCTTCATCAATTATAACAAGCGAGACCTCACAATTAGTTTCAGTCTTTTTATAAACTAAGCAGCTCCTTCAACGCTTTGGTCCCATAGGGACTACAAAAGTTTAATGACTCTTCCATCTGTTCTGTTACTGTTGGCAGCTCTATACTTCAACTACTACCTCCTGCTCTGCTTTAGCCCCCAATCTTCCAGCCACTTCATCCTATAGATAACACATCCCAATCCTCTGTCAGACTCTGCGTACCCCTCTGGGCCAATAACTATCACTTTTGAACATTTCTTTCACAACTGCAAATCCCTTCGCTGGAAACGGACACAGTATATGATTATTATTGTTTATATATGTACTTCCTCCAAATTCCCCTAGCCATGGATACATTGAGTGGAGGCTATAACATGCCTGATCGGGTAAATCCGTAAACTGGGGATTATGGAGAATCAACAACAAAATTGCAAGCTTAAAGGGACATTAAGCACTAAGCATGTTTTTTTGTGCAATGTAAAACATTGGTCCAAAAATACATCTCTAGCAGCTATCAGACAGACAGCCAATACACACACTTCCCCATAAGACCTTTGGTTTTCAAAAAGCTTCATGTTCAGTGTTATCATGAGCTGCATGATCACTATGAATGTAACTCTATGAGAAGCTCTGGAATTCAGAGATTTAGGCACATGAACTGTAGGTTATCAATGGTTGTCTGTTTACAAGAAGTGTCTGGTTTGACCAGAGATCAGTAAGCTTGATGATCTCATTGTGGGTGGATGAAGCTGCAGAGACTGTGGATTACATGTAATTATTGCAGCTTTTAAAAACCTTTTTATTTTGCACAGGGGGGCAATAATCTAAACTCGCATATGCAGGGCTTGACAAATTACAGGTTGACATGGCGTCCAGGAAATTGTCCTGGCGTCTGGGATTTGTGAGCTTGTTCAGCCTCTGAGGTGACAGACTGACCAAAATGGCTCCCGCAGGGCTGAGGCAGGGGCGAGGTTGGCTCATTGAGAGTTGAGGGAGGAAGGCCGGCAGCTGAATTAAGGAGGCCGCGGCAAGGGAGCTGTAATCTCCCTGCTCTGCTCCCTTGCGCTCCCTCCAGTGATGCCGGGAGCCAGAATATGATGTTTATCCGGCTCCGCATAACTAAACAGGGAGCAGAGCAGGGAGATGACAGCAGCCCCACTGGACCCCAGGGATTTCTGAGTGAGCGTGAGTGTTGCAGTGTGTATGTCAAATCAGTGAGAGTGTGTGTCGGTTAGTGTGTGTGTGTGTGTGTCTGTCTGTCATTGAGTGTGTATGTTTAGGTGACCTGCCCCCCTCCAACCACATCAGAAAGGTGTTTTTACTCACCCCTTTCCCCACGCCGTGCTGGTGACGCTGTGGCTGGCTCAACTTCCATAATCAATCTTGACAATTGACTATTGTGCATGCGCAGCAAAACCCCATGCTGCGCAATCAACTTCTCCTCATAGAGATACATTGAATCAATGCATCCCTAAGAGGGGGCATTAACATAGATGGTGCACACTGTGCAGCACTGACCTAGGAAGCACTTCTAGAGGCCGTCCGAGTGACTGTCACTAGAGGTGTTACCAGACATCAGTGTAAACCCTGCCTTTAGCCTGAAAAGTCAGTGTTTACATTGAAAAACCTGCAGGGACAGGATATAGACTTAAGAACAACTACATTAAGCTGTAGTGGTTCTGGTGACTATAGTGTCCCTTTAAAAATTGTATTTTTGATTATGAAAATCTGGCTACGAACTTTTTTAGCTGGCTCCTAGATTTCAAGCAAATTTGTCAAGCCCTGTTTTAATGTTCTCTTTAAGACCAAAATAGCCAACTTCAAAAAATAGGTTTGATGGGTAAATTTACCAGTTGTGCAATTCTTGCCTAAAATTGTCAACATTTTAATAATATGTGCCTGTGCCTGTGCCTGCAAGCTAGCAATCTAAAGTGAACTGGAACAGATGATAAGGGTTAGTCACTAAAGTGAGAATTCAAAGTGAATTTCACATTTAAAGGAACCCTATAGAATCAGGAACACAAACGTGTATTCCTGACCCTATTGTGTTGAAACCACCATTTAGGTGGATTGCCCTCCCTTTAAAATGTAAAAAAAGTACCTTATTTCTAGCACCGTGCGGGTTCACTGGCCCTGCCCCTGATCCACCTCCTTGGCTGACATCATCAGAATTGATTATGTCAGCCAATCCAATGCTTTCCCATAGGAAACATCGCCTTGGCCAATCAGCATCTCCTTATAGAGATGCATTGACTCAATGCATCTATATAGGGAAAGTTCAGCTCTGCATGGAGACACTGAACGTCAGTGCTGCACACTATGCAGGACTGCCAGGAAGCCCCTTCTCGGCTGTCTGAGGAGAGGCCACTAGAGGTGTTCCTAGGGAGCAATGTAAATACTGCATTTTCTCTGTAAAGGCAGTGTTTATAGCAAATGCCTGCACTCACCAGAACAAATACATAAGCTGTAGTTGTTCTGGTGACCATAGTGTCCCTTTAAAGGTAAAAATAGGGGACATAGAAACATTTACTTCCATTTCAGCTACTTTAGTATTAAATTTGGAATTTTCAATTTAGTGAATAAGTCTGTATGTATCATCACTGCCCCGGAATTGTAATCAGTTTCTTAGGCCCTTTCATACCTTTCATCCATTATGAATTGTATTATTAGCCAACCTGAAATCTGGATATACTTATGGCTATTACTATATCTTCTGTCTGTAGGTGAATTATTGCAACCGCAACATCATAGTGGCTGAAAGTTCCCGAGTGAGGTTTTCGTTCTGGTATTTTGGGTATATGTGGCGATTGGCCTACCTATTCATTCTCTTGCCTCCCCTACGGCTTTTATCTGTACTCCTGAAATTCCATATGCCGAGGCGCATTTCTATCATCCCTGCATACAATTGACCTGCGTTGTTCCTGCAGTGTTGTAAAATGTTTACAAACAGTCAGAGTTGGCAGGGCTCCCAGAGTTCTTTCCTCGGGAAGCCCTCAGGACAAAGTAACTCGCACAATCAGGTTTAATATATAATGCACTTTACAACCCAGCGCTGTAGCTCCACTCTCTCCTTTCATGTACAGCTTTCAGCACCCCATTAACGTACCCTGTTCTTTAACATGACGGGGCATAATTTTTGCTTTGTGGCACACATATCATTTTTAATACTTCAGTGATTTATTCACAAAGTCTAATATACCCCATGGCTGACTTATTATCTTTAAGTGATGTTCCAGGAGGGATAAGCCAAATGGCAAATGATTTAGGTAAACTAGGAAAATGGTCAGAATTGTGGCAACTGACATTTAATGAGGATAAGTGCAAGATAATGCATCTTGGACGTAAAAACCCAAGGGCAGAGTACACAATATTTGATAGAGTCCTAACCTCAACGTATGAGGAAAGGGATTTAGGGGTGATTATTTCTGATGACTTAAAAGTAGGCAGACAATGTAATAGAGCAGCAGGAAATGCTAGCAGAATGCTTGGTTGTATAGGGAGAGGTATTAGCAGTAGAAAGAGGGAAGTGCTCATGCCATTGTACAGAACACTGGTGAGACCTCACTTGGAGTATTGTACACAGTACTGGAGACCGTATCTTCAGAAGGATATTGATACCTTAGAGAGGGTTCAGAGAAGGGCAACTAAACTGGTTAATGGATTGCAGGATAAAACTTACCAGGAAAGGTTAAAGGATCTTAACATGTATAGCTTGGAGGAAAGACGAGACAGGGGGGATATGATAGAAACATTTAAATATATAAAGGGAATCAACACAGTAAAGGAGGAGACTATATTTAAAAGAAGAAAAACTATCACAACAAGAGGACATAGTCTTAAATTAGAGGGACAAAGGTTTAAAAATAATATCAGGAAGTATTACTTTACTGAGAGGGTAGTGGATGCATGGAATAGCCTTCCAGCTGAAGTGGTAGAGGTTAACACAGTAAAGGAGTTTAAGCATGCGTGGGATAGGCATAAGGCTATCCTAACTATAAGATAAGGCTAGGGACTAATGAAAGTATTTAGAAAATTGGGCAGACTAGATGGGCCGAATGGTTCTTATCTGCCGTCACATTCTATGTTTCTATGTTTAATTCAGATAATTCACTTACCCCCAAGTAAGTGCTCTGACATGGATTGATCATCTTGACGATAAGCTCTACTTAAACTACATGCTAGTGGGCGTTCTGTTAAACTAAGCATGAGCTCCAGTGCCACCGTTTCTTTGTTCCTCTAGTATCTCATACCTCCCAAGTGTCCCTATTTAGGAGGGACAGTCCCTATTTTGAGCGCAAATTCCTCTGACCCTCTTTTCTATCCTAATGTCCCTCTTTCCTTGGTGCTTCATATTGTTGGTTTGCCTGAGTGTATATTAAAATGCCACAGCAATAATACTCCCAGTAATGTGTCTTCAAACTACAAGAAATGGATTTAGAAGTCAGTTGGTGTAAATAAGATACATTGTTATTGCTCTAAATGGCATTTTAGTTGCAAAAATTGTTATTAGTAAGTCATAATGAAAATTTCTCTTTTTATCCATTTAAAATGTGGAGAGGTGGTATCTTCTCTATTTGGACCTTTTGTTCTATCTAGGGTGATAATTCTCTGCCTGTGTTAAAGGATCACTCCACACAATTAAAGTAGTTTAGCTTTATGTGTGAAAAAATAAAGCGCAGATTTCAATGGAAATTGGCACTTATTTAAATGAACCTTGTTCCACCCCCAGCTGACAATCAGACAACAGTTCCTGTTACTTCCTGGTTTGTTTAGCTCAGTGAAGTTAAAGGACCACTACAGTGCCAGGAAAACAAACTTGTTTTCCTGTCACTATAGTGTTAATAGGTTCCCCCCCACCCTCATGGCCCCCCTCCCGCCGTGCTTAAGAGGGGTAAGGGGTTAAACTGTTACCTTTCTCCAGCGCCGGACTCCCTCGGCGCTGGGGACTCTCCTCCCTCTTCTGACGTCATCCGCTGAATGCGCATGCATGGCAAGAGCCGCGCGCATTCAATCAGTCCATAGCAAAGCATTTCTCAATGCTTTCCTATGGACAACAGCGTCTTCTCACTGTGATTTTCACAGTGAGAAGTGTGGAAGCGTCTCTAGCGGCTGTCAATGAAACCGCCACTAGAGGCTGGATTAACCCTATTGTAAACTGCTATGTTTACAGCTGCAGTGTTAACCCTAGATGGACCTGGCATCCTGACCACTTCATTGAGCTGAAGTGGTCTGGGTGCCTATAGTGGTCCTTTAAACTCAAGAGGCAGCAATTGCCCAGAGCACCTGCCTTGCAGAGACTTCTCATTGAGCTGCATTGTGAATTCTCTGATTGGACAGCCACAGAAAGTCTGGGTGGGGCTAGAAAGGGAGGGCTTGCAAAAGCTACAGACAAGAGATCTACAGCTTTGGAAGCTGTTTTTTTAAAATTATATAAACCCAATGAAGAAATGCATGCATGTGTTCATTTGGGTATATTTACTAGACAGTTTGTTTATTTATTGTATGTGGGCAGTGGTGTGTCCCTTTAAGTCAGTGTCCCTGTATAGACCGGATTGTGTTTTCTTCATATTGTTTGCTATTTATGACATGGTTTGTTGTGTTCCAATTTCTATCCTTTTATCTGTTTATTTCTTTGGGATCTGACATCTGGCTGTATCTCTCCCTAGAGTTCTCTTATGGATTAATATTTGTGGGTTTTATCATTCTCCCGCTTGTCATCTTTCTCTTTTGTAGCTGAGTGTCATGCTCCCCTCCCTCTCTTTCATCTCTTCCCTTCGTTTCTCCTTCATCCTTCTCTCATGTGAACTGAAGCCAAACAGAAAACCTCTTTGAACAAGGGTCTTAACTTTTCCAGTTTTAGGAACATACTTTGAAGCCTTAAAGTGACATGAAGGTGTTTCTAGCCTTGATGGGTCAATTAAAAACATCACATGTATTTTAAACAATATAGAAAATATAATATGCTATTTTGGATATTTTGCGGCCTATCATCAAGATTGACAGAGTATTAAAATGTTTTGCCAAAACTTGCCACAATTTTACAGTTGGAGTGATAGGTGTTATACTGATAAACTGGACATAACGTTGTGCATTATGTGCCAGAGAAACCAACACTTCTTTGTGAAAATTCAGAAAGTGAAATTTGCACTAACTTAAGTGTTACTGTGAAGTGGAATATCATGAGTTAACTTAGATCCATAGTATTCCCCATTTTTCAAAATAAACATTAGAAGGGAATTATGTATTGCCATATAATGTGAATGTGGTTCTGGTATTGTGGCCACAGAGGCAATCAAATTTAAGGTGGTACTCGAGAAGGTGCGCAGTACAGAACAGACCTCCAGCACTGGTCGGGTACTAGTTGGTATACGCGGTGGAGTCGCACAGGAGTTATGTGACTACAGGCACATTGAATGTAGACACAGAGTGCACCTATTGAGACTAGAAGACCCACATTGTTTACAAAGGCTGTTTAATTTCTGTATAAATAATGTTAATTTTTGGATGAATCAAAAGGTGAGCAGATGACGGCAAAACAAGTATTTACATTTTTTTTATTTTGTTTTTGAGTCTTTGCAGAAATAACAACATAGTATGCGAGTTGCATATGAACTAGAATGCTACAGTAGCTTAAAGCGGCACTGTCATGCAGAACTTACCTTTCCTCAATCTCTTCCTCTTCTCCCCCTCTCTCAGGATCTGTTCTTCTTTTCTTCCTGTCTTCTTTAGTTTTATTTGAAATCATAAGACAAAGTAGGGACTCTTTGCCTTATGGAGGTTTCCTCATCTTGACTAGCTTTGACCATTCATTTCCGCTGGTCAGAGCAATTTTCCCATAATTCTTACCTTTGCTCAGTGTTCCCGCGATGCTTCCTGTCATTTTAGACGAAACTGCCGAATTGCGTTCTAACTGAATGAGAACAGTATGTTCGTTTGTTTTAGAACTCAATTCGGCACTTTGTTCGTATCGGAATTTCATTTCAATGAAAGCGGTGGGTGGGGGCCCTAAAAAAACAAGGGAGGGGGACCAACTGTCCTCCCTCCCGGCCCCCACCCCTGAGCGGTGGGTGGGGGCCCTATATAAGTGGTGGGGGGGGGAAACCTACTGTCCTCCCCCCCGGCCCCCACCCCTGAGCGGTGGGTGGGGGCCCTGTATAAGAATGGGGGGGGGGGCCTACTGTCCTCCACCCCCGGCCCCCACCCCGAGCCATTACCATTTGACGTCTTCTTTTTTCTAAAATCTTCATTTTTCAGCCCCAAAAAAGGCCAAATAAAAACCCTTATTGTTTTTTTAGGGCCCCCACCCACCGTTCAGGGGGGAGGACAGTAGCCCCCCCTTATTGTTTTTTAGGACCCCCACCCACTGCTCAGGGGTGGGGGCCAGGGGGAGGACAGGAGGTCCTCCCTCTTATTGTTTTTTAGGGCCCCCACCCACCGCTCAGGGGTGGAGGACAGTAGGTCCCCCCCCCCACCATTCTTATATCGGGCCCCCACCCACCGCTCAGGGGTGGGGGCCCGGGGGGAGGACAGTTGGTCCTGTCCCTTATTGTTTTTTAGGGTCCCTACCCACTGCTCAGTGGTGGGGGCCAGGGGGGAGGAAAGTAGGTCCCCACCACCATTCTTATATAGGGCCCCCACCCACCGCTCAGGGGTGGGAGCCGGGGGGGATGGACAGTAGCCTCCCTTATTGTTTTTTAGGGCCCCCACCCACCCACCATTTAGGTCCCCCCCACCATTCTTATATAGGGCCCCCACCCACCGCGCAGGGGTGGGGGCCGGGGAGTTGAAAATAGGTCCATTCGTTTCTGACGAATGAATGAATAGATGAAATTCCCGTTCGCATGCCCAAGTGTTTCACTGGGCATGTGCGGGAATCTCACCGTGCTTTTTAGTGTGGGCAGATGACGTGTCCCACAGGGACTTCCTCTACCCACACAAAGATGGCGGCGCCC